ATAGAAAGGTATGAGATCACCTATATAAGTGTGAAATGGGGCCGTTTCTACGAGAATTCGAGGCTTAATTCTCTTAGAGCACTTATGAAACCAAGAGTTGTCCAGGGCCAAAATGGACTCAACCATGAGAACCGAATAGGTTAGATGAGTCATGGTGTTGGTACAGTTGTTTGGTTTTACACGAACGGCTGGATGGTTCAAGACATCGCGTTCACCAACTAGCCTAGTAAATCCGATTGTATTCAACTAAAGAAGGTTCAAGGCCACAAGCTACCTATCTTGATGCTACGACTTGTCGTGTGTACTCCGTTTGTTAGAGTCTGCATTTCATTTTCATTGCATTCGCTTTGTGTTGCGCATATCGAGGAATTTCCATTCATGTGGGGGATTGTTGGATATTGGTTAAATAAATTGAGAATTGAAAATCGATTAAAGTTCGTATCGAATTCGGCCAAATACTCAAAAGCTCGACTCAATCCGTTTAGGCAAAATTGTTTGCCACTTCGCCGCTTCGGGGCGCACAAACGGGGATCGACCTGCCCGGTCAGGTCGCGAGGGTCGGGGGCAACGCCCCCGAAAGAGAATTTTGATTTCTCTGCATGTATTGAAGGGTATATTTGGCATTTCGAAAACCAATATCGGATGAATGAGAAATTACGAAAAAGACCTCAACGATTAGTGAATAGACACCTTTTCATAAATATGCATTGTTTGGAAATGGTGCATGGTTTGGTCTCAACCATTTCGTCCACACCCCTTCATGGTCTATAAATAGGACCCTTTGGGTGTCCTATTCCTCACAGTTTGATATGCAAAACGTTTCTCATCCTCTCTTCTATCCAAAATCAAAATCATTTCGTTTATTTTGATTTTCTTTCATTTCATCCTTGGAGTACATAAGCCTAAATTGGTTCGTTGTACTTGTGTTTTGGAGTGCTACAAACACAAGTGTAGCCGTTGTATCTTGGGAGTCGATTGTCGAAATCCGTAGGCACCGTTGCGGGGCAAATTCGATTTAAGGACAAAGAGTCCAACTCTTGCCTCGGCTTTGTCACCATCATTATACTTATTTCAGCGTCACTATTCACAAAATTCATCCAACAGATTTAATGGTTTCAGTCATTGTATATTGACTTTGCAACCGATTTATTTCTTTTTAAAGATCATAGTTGAAACTAACTTAGTATTTACGAAATATATTGAGATCTTGATCTTCATACTAATACAATTCATTTCAAATTTTAGTGCACCATTGAATTAGTGAGTGCATACGATAAATTAACGATTTCAATTATTATATATCGACTTTGCAATCCATCTATTTCTTTTTAAAGATAAAAATTGAAACTAATTTAGTATTTAAACAATATATTGAGATCATGATCTTCATACAAACATACTTCATTTTAAATTTCTGGGGCACCATCTTAAATTGAAAGTTTTATAAAGTTCATTAAGTGAGTGCATACAATGATTTAACTATTTCAGTTAGTGTATATTGAATTTGCACCCGATAAGTTTCTTTTTAAAAAAGGTAAAAGTTAAAATTAAACAACATCTGGAGATCGTGATCTTCGTAAAAACAGGAATCATTTAAAATTTTGAATACCATCTTAGGTTGGAAAGTTTTATAAAGTTGAACAAGTGAGTTTATACGATGATTTAATGATTTTAGTTTTCGTATATTCATATTTGCAATTGATTTAATTTATTTTAAAGAAAAAAAATTGAAATTAACTTCGTGTTTAAACAAAATATTGAGATCATGCTATTAATTCAAACACGCTTCTTTAAAAATTTTTGGGAACCATCTTACATGCGTCTTTTTAGTTACTGTATATTGACATTGTAAACAACTTGTTTCGTTTTAAAAGTGAAAGTTGATTGTGATTAAAATTAGATTATTTAGTAGACTGTGATAAAAAAATTTAAAATGTGTTATTGAAAAATTGTGGGACTCGTGAAAGATGTAGTTGATAATGATTATTTGACTTTGACTTATATTAAAATCAGATTGTGATGATTTTAATTACAACCAAATATGGACTTACAACTTGTTTGAGTCCCATTATTTAGAAAAAATGCATTTTTCTACAATATTTTGATATCATTTCAACCACACATTCTTCAATAAAATAATATTTTACGTAAATTCAATTTTTTTCTTATTTTTTAAGCACACATTTTCCATCAATACACTATTCAAATATTCATTTTTTCTTCAAAATGGGGCTCAAACAAGGGCTTTATATTTAAACAATATAGTATACGAATAAGTGACGCTTGTTTGCTAAAATACTATACCGCAAGTGCACGAGTCGCGCACAAGTAATAGAGTAGACTTTTTGAGTCCGAGTCGATATCTCGAAGAGCGTTTATTCCAATTACAAAGGAGTTGATTCGAAAAACGGTCAAGACACACACAATTAATCTCTTTGAATTTGAAGATTAAAAGAAAATGATTCTAAATATTCAAGTGAAATACCCAATTGCAATTATGATAGGAGTTAGATTTTAGTTAGGTTAGGATTCATGATTCCACTTGCCTGTCATTAAATTAATTCCTCAAAACAATTCAATAGAACATTGCTCACTTTTTTCAACAAACCCGATTTTCCTACTTTAGTTAATTATCTTTCTCAAGTGAAACTAACTCTAATCAATTGGTTTAACCTATTATATCTCTATGTCGATTAAAAACAATCGAAAACATTAAATATCAATGAAAATAACTCAAAGGGTTACATAGGGTTAGGAATATATTTCTATTTCCACAAGAACCTAGAGTTTCTACCACCTTAGTTTAAAATGTGCAACAATTTCTCAATAATCACACAAATCACTAGAGCACTCAAAGCAATGGTTAAAACACAAGAACATAGTATTAAATAATGGATAAAGAAATTTATATAGTTAAGCCAAGTTTCTTCATTCATCCCAATACCAAAATATTTAGCCCATTGTGTCTAAAAGACACAAGAGGGAGTGGTAAAAGAAATACATCACAAAGTTAAAAAATGATAATAAGAAATACAAGACAAAATACAATAAACCTGTCTCTTGGTCGAATCCTTGAAACTTGCTTAGTGTTGGTCTTGATTCTTTCAAAATTTTCCCTCTTTTGTGTAGTATCCCCATTCTTTCTCTCTTGCCTCCCTTTTCTTTTAAAGCTAGGGTTTCAAGTGAATGAAGAATGAGAGAAAAAATGTTCAATTCGCCTTTTAAATGGCCCAAAAATCGTGTTTTATAATTGCAAAATGATCCCCAACTACAAAAATATAGTAAAACAGGTCCTTAGCTGTGGCAGTGTTGCGATGGCGCTGCAACGCCATAATGGACAGAGGTGCGGTGCCGCTACAATACAACATCACATTTTTCAGTATTTGCAGCTCAGCTCCTCCCCATGTTTGCACTCTAGATCCCTCAACTTTGAACTTGTACGTTTTAGTCCTCAAAAATTAAATTTTCTTTCAATCACGCCTCATATTTTGCAACATTGGGTCCTTAAAATTTTGACACTTGCACACTCTGGTCCTCGAATTCATGTTTTTGTGCACTTTTGATCATCTTTTCCTTCATTTAGCCATTTTCTCCTCCAATTTGGGATTTTGACCTACAAACACTACAATTATACAATTATAAATAGAAATTTGTTCAATTTCATCAATAAATAGCCCGTTAAAGTGCCTAATAAGCGTGTTTTTACACACTTATCAATGCTACGTATATATAATGGTGTAAATCAGGACGTACACCTTGACGTGGATAACACGAATACTAAAAATTTTCAAAATAGGCACATGAATTGATTGTACACCCAACTCCACCTAATTGTGCACCATGTGCCACACGTTCGCTGCATGACTCACCTATAATATAAGCCGACTCGTATTAAATTAACCCTACATTTATAAATGCTGCCAAATCTACTACTCTTTCTCCATCCTCAAAAAACACACATCGATTTTAACTCCAAAATTTCCGCAAAATTTACTGTCCAATTTCCCACCATTGATTAATTAACTCGCAGTAAAAGTAAATTCCTGTAGCAGGAATTTATATTTAGGAATCAATTTTTTATGTACATACTTACACACAGAATTGTAAGAAACCAAGATTTTTTGTGGGTTGTGAAGACCTCTAGGTGCGAAATCAGGGGCTTGTCTTCTCCCTCCGTCTGTCTATTTTCTCTCTCTCAATTCTTATTTTCTCTGTAGAAAATACAGGCAGAAACCATTTTTTTAAATATGCGTGTATTTCGTTTGAATTGCGAATTATCAATTTGATCTGTTGTTTGAGTGGTTTCTCCATGAATTTTGTGTCGTCCGTGAGATGGGTTGCTTTTGAATTAAATCAGAATTTGGGAGTTTTATGTGTTTCTTGTTCATTTGATGGATGTGGAATTTGGGTGATCTGAAAACCCTTGATCCTGATTGATTTGGATTTTTTGTTTTGGAATTTGGTGGCTTTTGTTGTTGGATCTGAGTATTGTTAGCTCGAAGAAATAGGGTTTTGATTTCCATTCTTGTGTGAAATTAGGGTTTGAGTAGATGGCTTCAAATCCTCCTCCATTCATGGTGGAGGATAACACTGATGAGGATTTCTTCGACAGATTGGTAAATGATGAAGATGATGTGGACTTTAAGGTGGTTAACACATTGTCGGCAGTTGTAGGCCCCTATTCTGCCAACGGGAATGAATCCGATGAGGCTAAGGCCTTTGCGAATTTGAGTATCACTCAGGTTGATAATAATTGTGAGTGTAATGATGCTAATGACGAAGATGCTGATAACACTAGTACTGGGATTGATGGTTTAAGCAGGATAACTGAGAAAGTTGGGAAAATGATGGTGGGGACTGTGGAAGAGAGCATAAGTACATTAGAGTCGGAAAAGTCATTTGAGTTTGATAATTTGATACACAAATCAGAGAATGGGAATGGAGAGGCTGAGGTCTTGTCCAATACCACTGTGATGAGTAAGAACGATGGTGGATTGGGGGGTGCGGGAGTTAAAGAGGTGGATTGGAGTGCATTTCATGCTGATTCAGCTCAGAATAATAGTCAAGGGTTTGGATCCTATTCGGATTTTTTCACTGATTTAGGAGGGGATATTGCTGGTGATGCGTTTGGAAATGTGGGGAATAGTTCACATTTTGAGTCCAATGTTGCTTCTGGGAATGAAGTACATGAAAATTCAACTACCTACCTGCAGAATCAACAGGAATATAATTACGGTACAACTGCAGATCAGAGTACAGCCGGTCAGGATATGAGTAGCAGTCAGTATTGGGAGAATCTTTATCCCGGATGGAAGTATGATCAAAACACTGGCCAGTGGTATCAGGTGGATGGTTATGATGCAGGTGCGAGCGTGCAAGCAAATGTTGACGCTAATTTGACTTCTGATTTGGTGCAATCTCACAGTAATGAAAATGTCTCTTACTTGCAGCAATCTCTTCAGTCTATCGCTGAGACTGTAGCTGAGAATGCTACGACTGAGAGTGTTACTAACTGGAATCAGGTATCACAAGCGACTGGTGATCCTACTGAGACTGCATCTGATTGGAATCAGGCTTCACAAGCAAACAACGGATACCCACAGCATATGGTGTTTTATCCTGAATACCCTGGTTGGTATTATGATACTATTGCCCACGATTGGCGCAGTTTGGACTCGTACGCTTCAACTGCTCAGTCCGCTCAAGCTCAAGACCAGGTGAATCAGAATGGGCATGCGCCGCATGCCTCGACTGAAACATTTGCTGATAACAATGATCAGAAGACATACGGTGGATATGACCAAGTTAATAACCATGAAACTCAAGGTTTTAGCAGCCAAGGCCAGTATCAGAACTGGGCGGGGTCCTTCAGCAATTACAATCAACAGAAATCAGCTATGTGGCAGCCTGAAACTGTTGCCAATGGTGACTCTACTTACAGAAACCAACAATTGGAGACTCAACATGGGCAGGACTTTATTGCTGTGCCACAAGGTTTTGTTCCTCCTGGGAATTTCAGCCATCAGTTTAATCAGCCGGGAATCAATCATAATGAGCACAAACATGTCCCAAATGAATACTATAGCAATCAGAGTAACATTAACTTTTCACAGCAACAATTGCAGAGTGCCCACCAATTCTCGTCTGCTCCTGCTGGAAGATCATCTGCAGGCCGCCCTTCACATGCTTTGGTAACTTTTGGTTTTGGTGGAAAGCTCATTGTTATGAAAGATAATAGCACTATAGGGAGTGCAACATTTGGAAACCAGGTTAGTCTGAGATTTATATTTTTCTAGTTTTCTTAATAGTATTACTTGTACTCCTCGCTGAAAATGTTCTTGTAATTTGTGTGAAGAACTCTGCAGGAAGTTCAATATCTGTTCTCAACTTAGCAGAAGTAGTCAATGAGAAAGTCGATTCTTCAAGCATTGGAATGGGTGGTTGTAGTTATTTGCGGGTTCTCTGTAAACAAGCCTTTCCTGGTCCTCTTACCGGTGGAAGTGTTGGTGTTAAGGAGTTGAACAGATGGATTGATGAGCGGATAATGAACTCTGAGTCTTCTGATATGGATTACAGGAAGGGAGAAATATTGAGGTTGCTCCTGTCTTTGCTTAAGATAGCCTGTCAGTATTATGGAAAACTTCGATCTCCTTTCGGTACTGATGCAGCTTTGAAGGTATGCTACATATTTTTCGTGTAAATGCAGGGTGGTTTACTTGACGTTCCTGACTTTATCATCACATCGGATCTAATCCCCTCAATTATTTTCCGATTGATCTGTATATATCATTCACACATCCTTGAGTTTTGATGCACTACAGAAGCATAGGTCTTGCTCAAATTATGGAAAATTTGATTGGCCCCCGGTGAAGATTGTTCACTAGCTGTATTTGTTTGGTTTGTGCACAAAACTTGGCTTTTGGAATATATTTTAAGAAAGTTAAAAGTTATCTTAGTAAATATGTCTTGAGTTTCTGGATATTTAATTCAGTAAACAATTTGGCTTGTTTCTATGATGTCAAGTTGCCTGGGTAAATATCACTCTTCCTACAGTCCTACTATACTCTCCAATCAGTATAGCGCATGGGGTTAGGAGAATCCTGTGTACCGTGGGTAATTCTCCGTAGTCTCTAAGGCCTTTTTCCTGGAAGATGTCTCCTTTTAATTTTTTATTTTTATTTATTATGTTTTGTTTTTTTTGATCGAGATATGGTATTCACTAATCTGGTATTTTATTTTATTCTCTATGATTTGCCACTTCGATAGGAAGGTGATATTCCAGAATCTGCAGTTGCCAAACTCTTTGCATGTGCCAAAAAGACTGGTACACAATTTAGTCAAAGTGGTGCTGCTTCCCACTGCTTGCAGCAATTGCCTTCTGAAGGACAACTGCGGGTATTTGATCGCTGCCTGTGAGTTTATTGTTTTTTGTACAACCCATTATCCCTTAAATAACTGGCACATGTTTTAGGCCACAGCTGTTGAGGTTCAAAGTCTTCTGGTTTCTGGAAGAAAGAAAGAGGCTTTACAATTTGCACAGGAGGGTCAGTTGTGGGGTCCTGCCTTAGTTCTTGCAGCACAATTGGGTGATCAGGTTTGTTAGCATGAGAGTTGTTTTCTTTTGCTGGCCAATAGAATGGCTTGAATCATATCTTGATAAATACAATATTTATACACATTCCTGTCAATTTTTTCTTTTATAACCGATTTATGGGCCATTGCAGTTCTATGTTGACACTGTGAAGCAAATGGCACTTCGCCAGTTGGTAGCAGGGTCACCTTTGCGAACATTATGCCTGCTAATTGCTGGTCAACCAGCTGACGTCTTCTCAGCAGATTCCACAGCTGATGGTAGCATGATTGGTGCTATAAATGTGCCTCAGCTACCTGGTCAAGTATGCAATGAATCTTTCTGTTGAATATATGTGTCTGTAGATTGCAATAAAATTAACTTGAAGATCCTTTTAATATACATGTTTTATTTCTTTCTCAAGTCCTCTATTTGATGAAATTAAAAGAAATTTATCTTAAAGTTTCAAATTATTAATTCTTTATGCTTCTTTTGGTTATTTACCCAGTTTGGTGCCAAAGGCATGCTGGATGACTGGGAAGAAAATTTGGCTGTGATAGCTGCTAACAGAACAAAAGATGATGAACTTGTCCTTATTCATCTGGGAGATTGTTTATGGAAAGAGAGAAGTGATGTATGTTCTCGTCTGCTTTTCTGGATGTGGTTATTTTTTATTTTTCACATTTTCATCCTGACTTGGGTTCTTGTGTTGCTTTCTGTGGACATTATTCAGATCATAGCCGCTCACATATGCTATTTGGTTGCGGAAGCGAATTTTGAGGCATATTCAGACAGCGCCAGGGTTTGTCTTGTTGGTGCAGATCACTTAAAATTTCCACGAACGTATGCTAGTCCAGAGGCTATTCAGGTTGGCTGAGTTGGTGGTGATCAGTAATGCATTGTTTCGCTCAAAGTTGTCAAAATGCTTTTATGAGCACGTAGGAAATGCCCCCTGCATAGGTGATGGGGTAATTTTATCCGCAGCATTTTAAAATAGGAGGAAAAGACAAAAACTGAATAAAAGCACGTCAAGCAAGACCTATTTTAGCGCCACACTTTTTTCCACTCACTGTTCAATATTTCCCTCTCCATTGGTCTTGTATGGCATATGTTTTATATAGCTATCGGAGCGTAGACAGTGCTCAAAATGGCACAAAAGTGCCCCCCTCAAGAACCACGTACAGTTTATATGCATATATGCTGACACTTGTATAAAGGTTTATATTGCATATAATGATAAATTCATAGAAGTCTTATTTAAATGAACTTAGCCAGGCAATTGTTGCCCAGCAGTGGGACCTGGCCTGGGCACCTAGGTGGTACTAGCGACAATTATGGTGCCAGTTGCCTGGTCATAATGCATTGAGTCTGCATGCTTGTGTTTATTTGGTTTTATTAGTGATGAGACTAACTTGACCTTTGCATGTTTGGACAGAGGACAGAGATATACGAATATTCAAAGGTGCTAGGAAACTCTCAGTTCACCCTTCTTCCATTTCAGCCGTACAAGCTCGTATATGCGCACATGTTGGCTGAAGTTGGGAGAATGTCAGATGCATTGAAGTATCTACCATGCTACTAGTTTTCAGTTAATTTTTTCATATTTTGCCTTTTTGGTCTTAACATAACTCTTTAATAATTCAGGTATTGTCAAGCAGCATTAAAATCACTTAAAACTGGTCGATCTCTCGAGGTGGAAACGCTCAGACAGTTAATAACATCTCTTGAGGAAAGGATAAAAGCTCACCAACAGGTATTTCTATATCCTATAATTTGCATTTTGACCAAATTTTCTAGATGACTATATATATAGGAAATATTTGGATTGGAAAATTATCAATTTTGACCATTTTCATTGTTACTGTTCTTGACTTCCTGAATGCAGGGTGGATTCTCCACAAATTTAGCCCCTGCCAAATTGGTGGGTAAATTGCTCACCCTTTTCGATAGTACTGCTCATCGGGTTGTTGGTGGCCTACCCCCGCCTGTGCCGACTGCAGGTGGCACTGGACATGGTACAGAGCATCATCATCAATCAATGGGACCTCGGGTATCAACTAGTCAATCAACAGTGGCTATGTCATCATTAATTCCTTCTCAATCCATGGAATCTATAAGTGAAGGGGCAGCCGATGCCAGTAAAATGACAATGCATACAAGAAGTATTTCAGAACCTAACTTTGGATTTAGTCCAATACAGGTTTATTTCTTCTTTTAATCTCAGTGCCTCACATTCCACTCAATAAATTCCGACTTTACTGATTGATTGATGTGTTGAAACATTATTGTAATTTGGGTAGAGCACGTATGAGATCTTTCCAATTTTTGTAGGGTCAGGCTGATTCAGTGAAGGGAGCTAATTCCACTGGTGAGCAAGATAAAGAATCAGCCGCAGGAAGTACAACTCGTTTTGGCCGTTTTGGTTTTGGATCTCAGCTACTGCAAAAGACTGTAGGTTTAGTGTTGAAGCCCCGTCAAGGTCGCCAGGTAAGTTGATCGAGTTATTTGTTTACAGTAAAATTGTCTCAGACTAGTGCTTCAAAATTTAAATTTGGTTCCTATGAAAGTTTTCTTACGATTGTACTGATTCTGTAGGCAAAATTGGGTGAACAAAACAAGTTTTATTATGACGAAAAACTTAAGAGATGGGTGGAGGAAGGTGCTGAAGCTCCAGCACAGGAAGCAGCACTTCCACCCCCACCACCAACTTCAGTTTTCCAGAATGGAACATCAGATTATAACTTAAAGAGTGCATTACAAGGTGAAACTTCTCATAGCAATGGAAGTGCAGAGATTAAAAGTCCCAGTGGTCCAGATCATAGTTCAGGAATGCCACCACTTCCTCCAACCTCCAATCAATTCTCAGGCCGTGGAAGAATGGGTGTTAGATCAAGGTAATATAAAAATTCACTCTTTTTCGTGCCATCATGGACTTCATCAATCTCGATTCTATTTGGATTAAGTGATGCGGAATATTAAATGTCCAGAAATAGTCCTAGAATGGCTTACAGTGCCATTCAATTTCTGCATTAAATTATATTCTTGCAAACTTGCTGTAGAGAGTTGTGTTTTCCTACTGTTGCCTGTTTGAAATTGTTTCTTGTTTAGGTGAACTGTGGAAACAGATATAGTGATATTGTTTAGAAGAGAGAGAAATGAAAATAAAAAATAACATGAACTGCCTGGGATGTGGTGCACATATCATTGCCTCAGCTCAATTCTGATTCGTGTATCATTTTGTCTTCTATAATGTGATATAAAAGAGAAATAAATGAAAAAAATATAAACTGCCTGGGATGTGTTCTGCATGTCCTTGGTGTAACAGTGTATACATTGATGAACTCTTATTTATTGCGTTTTGCAGGTATGTTGACACCTTTAACAAGGGTGGTGGCAACCCAACAAATTTGTTCCAGTCTCCATCTGTTCCTTCTGCTAAGCCAGTGAGTGCAGCCAACCCAAAATTCTTTGTGCCATCATCCGTACCCTTTGTTGAAAAGTCCGTCGATACCCCTGCAAATACCATGCAAGATACTTCATATACTACTGAAAATCCTTCTACTCCAAGTGATTTATTTTCGTCTCCTGCACTTCCATCTTCCATGGCCATGCAAAGATTCCCAAGCATGGGCAGCATCTCTAACACGGAGACTACGAGTGGCAATGGCTCGTTTTCAGCTCATTCACGGCGTACAGCATCATGGAGTGGAAGTTTTGACGGTTCTTTCAGTCCTCCTGATAAGGCTGAAGTAAAACCTTTGGGAGAGGTATTGGGAATGCAACACCCTTCAGTCTTCGCGCCAAAAGACTCTTCTTTAGTGCAACCGGGAATGAATGGGCCTGGCTTTGGGGAAGACCTTCACGAAGTGGAACTCTGATGCACTATGGATGTAAATAGTAAATTTTGCTTCTCTTAAGTTCGTCATGCTGCTAAAGATTGTGCCCAAATTTTCTCACCAGGTATATTTTGTTCGAAGGAGACCCGAAGTTTTTCTTGTTTTTCTTTGTTCTTTTTCTTTCTTTTATACTCTCAATTGTTGTCCCTTCTCGTTCTCTATTATTATCTTCACACCGTATGTTGAAAATCAGTTGTTACCTAGCTGTTTGATGTACTTATAGAGATAGATTTCACTCGTCTCCTCAAAGTTAGTGCCGTGCTGTTCTCATAATATTGGCATACCGCAAAGAAATAGTTCAAACTGTACAGTTCATTTGTTCAAGGAATGTAACTTCTGAATGAATTCAAGAGAATGGACACTGTATCAAGTTCAACTACCAATTTAAACAAAATAAAATTCAATTTGTTTCAGCAAAATTTTTTGCCCTGTTGTATTTGTTTATCCTCAGAGTGATTTCTTGTCTCCAGGCTGTAATGATTAAAGCCGATCGTGGTGGCATATGCCATTTTACATTGTGGTTGAGCAGGATAATGAAGAGAGCGAGAATGATGAAAAGCTTCTTCACTAGGATTATACCATATGTATGGAAGGACTGCTTATTTAAATTACGTCAAATTTGTGCTAATTGCATGGAGATACCGAGTAAGAGAAACAAAGTGGATGTGTGATGTTGAGCAGCTCATATTTTGAGTGGCTCAATGTAAAATTTTGTGATTTGAATGAACGATTTTATTACGTGTATATAGAATTCAAGAAGGTAAATGTTTCACTGGCCACTGAACTTTACTCATGTGTCGGCTTACTTATCAAACGTCCCATTAGTTTCTGTCTCACTCTATTAGCCACTGGATGAAATCCGTTAATAAATGTGCTTACATGGCTAACGGTGAAATGATGTGTCCAATTAAATCGCTCCAGATGACAAGTTCCAAATCACTGCTTTGTCTTCAATTCATTTGCCAAACAAGCCTTTCCCACCCATATGACACACGACATTAATCCAAATGAAAACCCAAAGCTTGAAATCAATTTCTTTCTGAATTGAAATTTCAAATTTTTTTCCGAATTGAATCCTCTATTAGGCAAAGTCTAAAGTCCTTGAAGCCTAATCCCCAAATCAAGATCATCCTTAAACCAAATTGCCCATCCGTTGAGGTTGATCATTCTTGATCGTGTGCACATGGGTGATTAGCTTAAGGTAATTTTTGGATCAAGCTGCCTTCATTTTTTCTCTCTTCAATTCATTGATGCATTCGGATGTATGAAATAATTTGAATTTTCAGGAACGTAATTTTTTAATATCAATTCTTGTCCCTTCTCGTTCTCTATTATTATCTTCACACCGTATGTTGAAAATCAGTTGTTACCTAGCTGTTTGTTGTACTTATAGAGATAGATTTCACTCGTCTCCTCAAAGTTAGTGCCGTGCTGTTCTCATAATATTGGCATACCGCAAAGAAATAGTTCAAACTGTACAGTTCATTTGTTCAAGGAATGTAACTTCTGAATGAATTCAAGAGAATGGACACTGTATCAAGTTCAACTACCAATTTAAACAAAATAAAATTCAATTTGTTTCAGCAAAATTTTTTGCCCTGTTGTATTTGTTTATCCTCAGAGTGATTTCTTGTCTCCAGGATGTAATGATTAAAGCCGATCGTGGTGGCATATGCCATTTTACATTGTGGTTGAGCAGGATAATGAAGAGAGCGAGAATGATGAAAAGCTTCTTCACAAGGATGATACCATATGTATGGAATGACTGCTTATTTAAATTACGTCAAGTTTGTGCTAATTGCATGGAGATACCGAGTAAGAGAAACAAAGTGGATGTGTGATGTTGAGCAGCTCATATTTTGAGTGGCTCAATGTAAAATTTTGCGATTTGAATGAACGATTTTATTACGTGTATATAGAATTCAAGAAGGTAAATGTTTCACTGGCCACTGAACTTTACTCATGTGTCGGCTTACTTATCAAACTTTATCAAACGTCCCATTAGTTTCTGTCTCACTCTATTAGCCACTGGATGAAATCCGTTAATAAATGTGCTTACATGGCTAACGGTGAAATGATGTGTCCAATTAAATCGCTCCAGATGACAAGTTCCAAATCACTGCTCTGTCTTCAATTCATTTGCCAAACAAGCCTTTCGCACCCATATGACACACGACATTAATCCAAATGAAAACCCAAAGCTTGAAATCAATTTCTTTCTGAATTGAAATTTCAAATTTTTTGATCGTGTGCGCATGGGTGATTAGCTTAAGGTAATTTTTGGAACAAGCTGCCTTCATTTTTTCTCTCTTTAATTCATTGATGCATTTGGATGCATGTAATAATTTGAATTTTTAGGAGCGTAATTTTTTAATATCAATTTTGTTTATGTTCTGTCTCGGATCTTTTGAAAATACTAATCGATAGTTACTATATTTTATGTCATCAAGGAAAAGTGTCCATGATTCTATGCAGATCTGTTATGATTGCTAGAGCTAAGCGCTTGTAAATTGCATTCATTGTAGATCTGTCATCAAACTTCTTGTTTAGTTAGTGCTGATATCGCAAGACCCAAAATATGCTCATATCTTATCATTTTCACTGTAAATGCTCGGAAATTATGTAAATATGATAATTTCACGTTCCTATGTGTTTTAAATTACTAATGAATCTGTTGGAAATTATTGTTTACACACGAGGGAATGGAGAAGAAATGAAGATCAAATAGCAAGAAGAAATTAAAGAAGAAGGCTCAATCACATAATCGTTGTCTTCAAACAATATTTACCTCCTCTCGAATTGTATTTGATGCTTAAAGTGATTTTGGCAAATGGTTCGTAGGATTTATCAAACCTTGTAAATGATTTAAAACTTCAGCACTTAGTGTGTGTTTGATTGACATGAAAAATATCACTTATAAAAGAAAATATTATCCTTGTTTTGAGAAAAATAAAAACATACTTCCTCCAAAGAAAATATTTCCTTAAAAATAAGGAAAATTAAGTATATTTTCAAAAGTTGAAAAATATTTTCAATGGAAAAAATAGCAATCAAACACTCAAAGAAATTTAGGTGGAAAACTGATATTTTCTATGGAAAATAAATGCGATCAAACACACCCTCAGTGTAATCCTCCAAAACTTAAGAATGCAAAATAGGGTTTGAATATGAAGAGAAATTTGATTTTCAATACTTTTGGAATGAAGAATTGATCTCAAGTGTGGCTATATGTTTTTTTTTTTTTTTTTCTCTTTTTATTTATTCCATTGATCGTCAACCACCTTATATAGCCATCAATCAGTGCTATATGAAGTGTTAAAATCCTTGAAAAGCCACTAGAAATTCAAACAAAAAGACCATAAAGGCTAGTGAAAATGTTCTATGCGATTGCATAGAACAAATCTATGCGACTGTATAAACAAACCAACAACAATGCCTTTAGGCCTTGCAAATGCCTATGCGACTGCAAGCCATTCTGCATATGCGGTCGCATAGTCCACCAATTTGGCTTGTAGCTTTGGTTTCTCACTACACACACGTTTTACACGTTTTATTGATTTTGAACAATAGACAACAATCCCTTTCTTGTTTAATATTCAATAAAATTTCATATTCAAAATATACAATACTCATGCGTAAGGATTATATATTTTTCGATTAAATCTAACCATAGTGTAATTCAAACAAAGTAAAGTTCTGAATTAAAGGTAACATGAAGTTTTGAACCAACTATTCCATGTGAAAATATTGGTAAGAACACCTACACAAGTATCACGCATTCTTAAGTTGCTCAATCCCGCTTAACGCTAATATGGCCTCGTGCTCATCCTTTTAGAGAAACTCTAACTCTATATTGAGCCGGCACCATCTTGAATTCATCTAGGTGAAATTCTTCTAGTATCTTTTTTACTTTTAAAGATACTTATACTTAATAGTGAACTTAATTAAGAACTTAAAGCTTAACCTTAATTTCAATACAACTAGCATTATTTAATTAGGATAGAGTTATCGCAGATTTTATAATGCCAAAACTATTCACATATCGAATGACTTGTACCTTTAAACTTTTGGATTACTTGTTAAGGTTATAACATGTAGGGTTGCTATTATTGATGGACATTTTATTTCAAGAGTTTCAACTCCATCCTACTCGAAGTAGATATTACCAAATCTCTATTTAGAGGTTTAGTTAAATGATCCGCTTAATTTTCGATTGACTTAACATAAAGAAGGAAAATTATTCCATCCTTTATTAATTTCTTTATGTAATCATGTCTAAGATTCATATGTCTAAACTTACTGTTGTATATCTCATTGTATGCCTTTGCTAATGTAGTTTGACTATTATACATGATAGGTAATGAAGATGTATTCTTTGATCCCAAATGTATCTCATAAAGTAAATCCTTAAGTTTCTCAATCTCTTTCCCAATTTTCGATAATGCTAAAAATTCGAATTTCATAGTCGAGTGTGTTATGCATATTTTTATTTTTTTTATTTTCAAGAGATAGCACCTCTTCCAAGATTGAACACCCAATCTGAAGTAAATTACTTTCACTTGTACTAGATATCCAACTAACATCAATAAATCCTTATAAATTGTATAATTTTTCAATATTTTTGTTAATTTAACATTATTATTTATTTAATAATTTAAGTAGTAGTAAATAAAATAAATTAATTAATAAATTTTCAAATAGGTAAATTTTTAACACCCAATCTGAAGTAAATTACTTTCACTTGTACTAGATATCCAACTAACATCAATAAATCCTTATAAATTGTATAATTTTTCAATATTTTTGTTAATTTAACATTATTATTTATTTAATAATTTAAGTAGTAGTAAATAAAATAAATTAATTAATAAATTTTCAAATAGGTAAATTTTTTAAAAAACAAAAAAAAAAAAAAAAAAAATTATTAAACACTACTTATTTGGTATACGTTTTGATGTAATATATTGGAGATATTTAATTTGGTGTAAAATAGTGCAAACGTTGAAGATGTTCTTTACCTCTTAAGAAGGAACGAATTACAAACCGAATTCAAATTTTAGGTGGGATATTTGTAGTGATGAAAAAATTGATGTACAAGAGACAAACATGAAAAGTTTATATATTTCTATTCTATCTCCTCATGTGATGTGTATCTATATTTAAAATTCAAATCCAAACAAAACGCAAATGCTCGTATTAACAAAGTATGCAGCATTTATGAAGAATCATTTGAATTCCACAGCTTCAATGCTCATTCCAAACAGTCGAGAGTACTTGGTATTAAATAAATTCTTAAGTCATCAACTTTACGATACAATGAATCAATGTTATATCTAATCCTTTTAGAATTTGCATAAAGAATTTGCTTACATTTATAACAAGAAAAGGCTAAACTTAATTCTAAACCATCAACCGCCTC